GGGATCATGACCTGAGCCGAAGGCAGCTGTTTAACTGACTGAGCCACCCAGGAGTCCCCTGAGAATAGTTTTCTAAAAGGGTTTGGCTTTATACTATTATTTGAAAAAATAGAAAAACCAAATAAATACAGTAAAGCATATATGTGGGGGCCAAAACTGAGATGTACTGAGAGTGGGTAATAAATTCCATAGCTCTAAGTCTTCAATGGTGAGAATACGGAGAGAAAGGCTCAGGGCAGTGACAAAACACAAAATATTCTATATGCGTCAATATTAAGTTTTGCTGATAGCATGACTTTCAGTAAAGAGACAATCTGAAGACAGAAGCTAGATAGAAACAGGATGTTTCATTAGTGATATCATTAAAAATTTTTCAAGAAGAGAAAAAGAAGTTAGAGGTATAGATAACTACCACAAAAGGATATTGGAAACACAATAAACATGAAAACTCAAAAAATAAAGGATCATGCACATACCAGAATAACGAAGAAAAATACAAAAGCAGGATACATTTAATTGTCTAAAGGGAATAGACTGGAAAAGCTCTTTGTTCAAAAACACATTCTGTATACTTGCCTAATCTGAAACTGACATATTACTCAGAAAAATGGTATGTTTGTAAAAGTGCATATTGAAGATATTAGATAATTAGGGAAAACAGAAGATTAGTTTTTTAACCTTATCACCCAAATCCTCCTGGTCTTTCAGGACTTAGTTTAGCCCTCAATGCTGCTTTCTGACACCTCTCATATTCTGCTCTTCCATTATTTAACTCTTTGCAGGGGTTATTAAACTTATCATAGAAGAGTCTTGTCACGATTACACTGTAAACTTTTGCAAGGTAAGAATAAGAACAATGTTGGAATTTTAAAAAATTTCTCAGAACACTCTGCATAGAATTTTATACAAATTTATTTAACAAATATTGGAGACCTATGCATAAGTGGTGGGAGAGGGAGGAGTCAGCTTCCCGCCGAACAGGGAGCCCGACGTGGGGCTTAATCCCAGGACCCTGGGAGCAAGATCCAAGCCGAAGGCAGATGCCTAACGACTGAGCCATCCAAGCGCCCAGAGAACTATGTACTTAAAAAAAAAAAAAAAAAAAAAAAGAACTATGTACTTTTCACTCAGTTTTTCGGTAAACTTAAAACTGCTCTTAAAGTCTATTAGAAAAATAATAAAGAACAACATGAAGTGAAGAAATCTGGTAATTTCAAGAAGGCTAACCAAAATAAATTTAAGAATACTTCCACCAGAACATTTAGACAAAACCACAAAACAGAAAAGAAGTGAAAATTCAAAACAACTCATGTCTGTTTTGTCATGCCTGATCAACTGAGGGTTATAAAACGAACCTGGTAGTTTTTCCTCAGAAGAGTCTGATTAGATAAAATTAAAAAAAAAAAAAAGGCAAAACAAAATTTATACATACTGAGTCACAGAAGTGCAACACAATACCATGCTGCAGATTAAAACAAGTCTACATGGAATATCCCCCCCTCTTTTAATATTCCTAAATCACACAGAAATGCATGATTAGTGAACACAAGAGAGACATATACCCATACCATAATCTGTTGTCTAACAATAAATAAATAAATAAAATAAAAAATCAACCACTGCTTTTGAAAGATGACTGGCTCAATCTGTAGTACCAACAAATAACAGCATGTCAGAATGGATTCCTTATGGTATTTCTCCAAATTCTAGTATTTTGTTTGACCTATAGTTATTTTTCAAATAGAAATGTGAAGCCTTTTACAGGCAGGGCAAAGACTCCTCAAGTCAGCACAGACTCCATTCACACAGTGATATTACCTGAAAGATCTTTCTAGGCACTTCCATGTATGACTCCTGAAGTATATTATCCTTGGAAACACCATGCTCTTAAGTTTAAGTAATTCTTGGGCGCCTGGGTGGCTCAGTGGTTAAGCATCTGCTTTCGGCTCAGGTCATGATCCCAGAGTCCTGGGATTGAGTCCTGCATCAGGCTCCCTATGCAGCAGGGAGTCTGCTCTTCCCTCTCCCTCTGATCCTACCCCTGCTTGTGCGTGAGCGTTCTCTCTCTCTCAAATAAATAAATACAATCTTTAAGAAAAAAAAAAGATTAAGTAATTCTTAAGAGGAGGCAAGTGCCTAGGAGTTTCATCATCAGTCTTTAGAAGTCATACTGTAGAGCTCTAAATGTAGCCTCCTAACCTGGGATGAGCTCTGCCAACCATCCAGCTGTCAACCACACAAAGCAAGCAAAAACTGAATAACAGATCTCTGACAGACTATTCAATCTTTCACTCAACAAATATTTGTTGAAGGCTCTTATGTGTTAAGCACTATTCCAAGCACTGGGACTATGACCTAGAACAAAATATTAAAATATTTCTGCCCTCAGGATTCTTATGCGTCTACGTGGTCACCATACCACTTCTACTAGGCCCAGCATTCTTCTGATCTTTGAATATGTAGCATGGATAACCTGGCGGTCAGATTTATTTTATAAAATTATTTTATATAATTACAAGATCACTATACAGTTATTAGTTCTTACCTGGTCCTGTGTTGATAATAACGTAAACAGAGTTTCCAATGCTGCTCTTCGAACTGATGATATAGTGTGATGCAAAAAAGGCCAGACACGTGGAACTAAAACTGTGAGTGACTGCTGAATACTAACAAAGAAAACACAAATTAATCTTACTCATTCTCAGTTGAAACTCTGTTGATACATTATCTAAATATGTCCATATGGACCTAGTATCTTTCTTGATGAATAAATTTTAAAAACATAATACAATTTTCATATGAACATTCATTTAACATCCTTGTTCAGAACTGTTGTTACAGAACCAGAATAGCCAGAGCAAACGTAGTCATAAAAAAATATTAACATTAAGTTCTATGGCACTAATGCCATGAATTACTTTTTCAAATAAGAACTTTCTAATATAACTGCCCTTAATTTCAATCTGTTCTTACTCAGGAAAATGGGACATGTATCTTAACTGGTAATCAGATTACACAAAATCAAGACTGTTAATTGTTGCACCTAACTTACATTCCCCTTTGGGGTCACCTCTGCCACATATCAAATGAGCAAGAGATGGTATGGTAGTAGCTTTGAAATTTGTTATCCTGATTTAGCATTACTAAGTCAAGAAAACTCAAATATCTTCCTTCTCACAGATTAGAACTTTGCAGAAAAACAAGCAAAGCCACATCTATGCTAACAATTTGGACAAGAGAATTCCTGTCACAACCATGAGTCTTTTATAAAAATTACCTTGGATTAGGAAATGATTTTTTTTTTTATAAATAGTGTTTGAAATATGTAACTCTATAGAAAAAGGCATGAACAAAAAAGAATATGGCAGGTGTAACTATCTGTTCTTTTGTGGTTCACCTCAGGAGGCCTATCTTTTAACACTATTTTCATTATTTGCAGGTTTGATGAACATCACTTCTTACATTTATTTACACATTTAGTAAATTTACTTATAAAATTGTATATTAAATACATGCACACAGAGACCTAAAACAGATTTGATCTATGTAAAAGCATTATAACAAGGTCTTGGTAATAGTGTAATAACTGTTCATGCTCCCAATGACATGCTGCATTTCTTACATAAGCTGGAAAGTATCTGTCAAATATATATGAAGCAAATTTTCTAATAAGGCAACTTTGAAAAAAATTTAAAGCTACATTATTTCACATTGAATTAACAGAATTTTCATTACTACTTTCATTTTCTTATATTATCTGGCTTTCCTGACACTACCTACTCAATGATTTTTTTTTTTTAATCCTAAGTCCTTTATTTAGAGCAGCTGTTAACAAAGGCTCATGGTCCAAACCCACTCGACCTGGTTTTTTTAAAATAAAGTTTTACTGGAGCACAGCCATGTTCATTCCTTTATGTACTGTCTATGGCTGCTTTTGCACTACAATATGCATAGCTGAGTAGTTTTGACAATGATGACATGGCCCATAAAACCAAAACTACCACCATCTGGGCTTTCACAGAAAAAGTCTGCCAACCTCTGATTTAGGGTTAATTAAAAACTCTTGCATTTTGTGGCTTGAAAAGGGCTTTCACATAAGATGAACTCATTTAATCCCTATAGCTTTTACTACTAATTGAAAAGTACCTGAAAATTAGGAAATACCATATATGCACTACCACTTTTTCTCTTCATTTGCTTTTATAGGCACTTACTCTGGTCTTCCAACTTGTAGGCCTGAATTTAACACTGAAGTACTTCCATCAGGGTCAGTATTATTTGAAACATTCTGTACATATTTTTAACACATCTATGATTTTCACTGGAAATAGACTCACAGAGCCAGAAATCATTTATAATCATAATCATATGAATATTCACTAAACATCCTCACTAGGCTAAGACAGTACTTAATTTTCTCATCTGTGGTTTTTAAAGTTGCATATGAATTTTTTCTTCAGTATCTCCAAAGATACTATTAATAGAAAGAGTATTATTCAGTGGCAGTCTAAAAGGTAGGGAATACATTAATTAGCTGAACTTTATTTCAATTATCAGGACAGGAAAACAGGTGACACTTAAAAGTTTTGGTTTATGTCTTGGCCTCACTCAGTCTCTACCTCTGTTAATTATATTATACTATTATGTATTCCCTTCCTGATCAGTAAAATCATGGAAGTCAAGAGCAAGACCTGGAAGGAACATTACAAGAAAAAGTTCACAGAGGAGCAAATTTTGGAAAATGTAATGCTGATAATTCAATTATAATTCTATTAGCTAAATGTCTCTAAATAAAGCTGAAATTCTATATTCTGGGGCTAGAGATGAAGATAATCCGCAATGATCCTATTTCTGAAGTTAACTATCATAGGATGAACAAGATGAAGAATTATATAACCAAAGTAGCCCAAGGGTAAAGAATATGACCTTTTTAAGTTCCTGCCCCAAATGTGCTGGTGGTTAGAGAGTAAAGAAGAAAAGGCTGCTTGGAAATAGTACTCTTTGGCATCCCCAACTTACAGTGCTTTTCTTAAAGATGCTACACTATTGTATTTTTAGGTTTATCTGGAAATGTATGTAAACACTTCTTACTTTACTCCACTAACTACAAATAATTACCTGCATTGTTGGACCTGAGGATAAGTTAATAAGGATGAAAGAAGAGTCATAATACTATTTGTTGAAGCTGTAAGATCATCTAGTTCCAGAAGAGCATCCCATAGTGTATTTATAATGAAGGGTACCTAGAAGATCAATTATTAAGAAAACAGTTATTTATTTTACACAAAATATGCACAAGCCATGCCAGACTGTAGCCACTACTGATTCAAAAACATACAATTCCCATGCCCTTGGAGAGTACCAGTTTTGAGCAAAATTGAGGAGACATTATTTGCGTTTAGTAATTCTCTACCCCTCTTTAAATGCCACTCAACTCTACTTTGGCACTTCCCTTTCTAACCAGGCTCATAATGGGAGAATTCAGGAATTAAGATAGCCAATACTCCATTTTATGCCAATACTCTCTTTTATGTAAAAAAACAAACTCTGAAAACAATACAGTGTACCCACACAAGATATCACCCTCTGTATAAAGTAACTTTAATATATTTAAAACAATACTAATCATCATGAAAAGACAAATTTAGTTTTTGAGCTTTTAAGTAAATACTGCTTGCTGCACTTCTAAATATATGTGTTCTGGTTTTGATATACAAAAGAAAGTCAGACAGATCTTAAAAGAGGCCATTTCAAAAAATGAGACCAGATTTAAAAAACCTAAAGCCAAAACCAAAATCAAAAAAAATTCCATATATCTAAAAACCAGGAGTGAAATAAAGAAGAAATGGTTGCTTTCTTCTCAAAGAAGTTCCCTATGTATATTCTGTACATGATGGGGAAGTAGATTAGTAGACAAAATTCACTCCTCAAAGGATAATATATAATTGAAATTGCAACATCAGAGCACTATCTGTCATAAGAAAAATGGAGGATGGGGTGCCTAGCTGACTCAGTTGGTAGAGCATGCAACTCTCAATCTCAGGGTTCTAAGTTTGAGCCCTACGTTGGGTGTAGAGATTACTTAAAAATAAAATCTTAAAAAAAAAAGGGGGGGGGGAGGATGAAGGAGAAAAAAAGTACTCAATGTTTTTGCTAATACTCTACACCCCGAATGTAAACAAGCTCTATAGAAGAAAATGCAAAAATATTTAATTTACCTTCTGTGTCTGAAGATACACCAGGCTTTCTACCACGGGTACTAATGATGCTGCAGCAACAGCTCTGACATCATCATCAAGGTCCTGAAGTCCTTCAATGATTCTAGTTAAAACTTTAGGTAATAAAGTATTAATTACATCCTGTAAAACAGTACATCAAAATAGATTAATTTTCTATAATTCAATTATTGTGCTTAAACATTTTTTATTAAATTTACCACATGAAAACATAAATCCTAATTTTTTTTTTTTAAAGATTTTATTTATTTATTTGAGCCAGAGAGAATGAGAGAGAGAGAGAGAGAGCACATGAGAGGGGGGAGGGTCAGAGGGAGAAGCAGGCTCCCTGCCGAGCAGGGAGCCCGATGCGGTACTCGATCCAGGGACTCCAGGATCATGACCTGAGCCGAAGGCAGTCGCTTAACCAACTGAGCCACCCAGGCGCCCAATCCTAATCTTTTTTTTAAGTTACTTTAAGTACTCTCTACACCCAACGTAGGGCTCGAACTCACGATCCCGAGATCACAAGTCACACACACTTCTGACTGAGCCAGCCACGGGCCCCATAAATCCCAATCCTTATTAAAAAGGAATCACACAGGGGCGCCTGGGTAGCTCAGTCGGTAAGCATCTGCCTTCGGCTCAGGTCATGATCTCAGGGTCCTGGGATTGAGCCACGCATCAGGCTCCCTGCTCAGCAGGGAGTCTGCTTCTCCCTCTGTCTCACCTCACCACTCATGCTCACTCTCTCTCAAATAAATAAAATCTTTAAAAAAAAAAAAAATCATATAAACAAAAAAGAAAAATAACATCAATAGAAGCCTATGTGTAACTAATCCCATTTGAAAAAGACCACAACAGTATCAAGTACTTTATTATTCAATGTGGCTTAAAACATCAGAACATGTTTTCACTATGAACTCCCTGTGTGAACACACAGACACACACACACATACATACCACTGGTGCTAGAACCTCAACTTCTATTTCTTATTCAACACCAATGACAACCAAAAGGGGTGTGAGAGAAGAAGGCAGGAAAAGCCATCCCTTCTAGTTTCTAACTCCAATCTATTCTTCTTTCAATTTCCCCAAAAGAGCTAGCCCACAGGGGCTACTCCTAGGATCATACACTAGGAATTTCCCTGAGAACTGGTCTTGCTATGAAACAGGAACAGGTTTCCAAACCTAACAAACCATCTTTTGATTTGTACTTAAATTCTTATTAGCTCTACCTAGGTCTATGACACTACCTCAAGAAGGCAAATCTTGAAATACTGGCTTATCTGTAACACTAAGAATCTAGGGTCATTTCATATAATTAAAGAAAATAAACTAAGAGGGGAAAAAAACCTCTCCCATACATGCTTCAAAACCTGAAGTGTTTACCTGACGAACTGCCAAAGCATACTTTATTCCCAGCAGACCACCATGCCTAACTTCCCATTGTTCTTGTGTAAGTAACTTAAGCAGCACATCCACAGTCTTATGAACTCCTGTTTCACTCATGTGTTTTAACACCACACCTAATGTCTGAGCACAAGTTTCACGAACTGGTGCCACAACCTATGAATGACAAAGGAAGAAAACTCATTTACAAAAAAATTTATTCTGTGGAATTTGAAATCTGATTGGGCAAAGCCTCCTTTAGGTGATACTTACTTCATCGGAAACAAAGTCTCCAAATCTGTCTAATGCAAAAACACAAAGGAGTCTAATAACTAAGTCTTCCAACCACTCTTGATGCTGCTGAATCATCTGTTAAAACAATCATTTTTTAATTAACAGATCAAGATCATACTTCACATTGGGGGCTGAGGAAACAGGTCCAAAATCAAAACTAAAATATTGGGATAGACTATTTTAGCTGTAGGAGCAATAACCAAAATATAGCACAGTCCCAATTACTACCTTTAAATTAACCACATCATGTTTGTTGATTGATTAGGTTCAAACATACCATACCAAAATCTTTAAAATTCATGAATTCTATTATGTTACTTGCACTCCAAGAGAAATTAAGAAACTACTCAAAGTTGCTCTGATTTCAATCATATCTGTCATGTATCTATTATCTATCCTATTACCAGTGTCTCATGCTACACCAATCATATTGCTTAATGACCTCCAAACTATCCTCTTATTATTCCTCTTCCTCTACTTTCCAATCCATTATATCCTGCTTACTCTTGCTTCTACATATTTTTCTACTCAATGTTTCTGAACGTATCTTTCCCATGAACTCATTCTTTCTCTGTTAATAAACAGACTTCATCCTAACTTTTTACTTTTTTCCTCATATTCACCTTTCCATATTTCTTATTATTTATCTATTTATCATTTCTATGTCATGGCCCAAACTCTCTAACTTCCCTGTCTTGGGAAAAGAAGCCAACTACTGAAATTTGGTAATAACTGGTCCTTTACTACCCTTACCTCTTCTAAAGTGCTATCTCCCATTTTACCACCACTTTTTCCATGAGCTTTAAGGATTTCCCTAAGACCAGTGCCTGCACCATGCCGAACCTAAAAACAAACAAGAAGCAAATGTCAGAGACTAAATGCTTAAAAAACTGAGTTTAACTTTTCTTTAATATGAAAAAGGGATATTAAATTTTTAAGAAATCAGAATAAAGTGACACTTGAAAAGATTATGTTTTTCTTCTGCTATCCAAGAAAATTTACATATATTAATTTCACAATTTGGGTATGTTGAATTTTTCTAAAATCAAGCTAAGAAAACAATTATTCTAAAATCCTTCTGAGATATTAATCTATTTGGCTATCACTTCCCTACCCTTTATCTGCATTCAGCATTATCCTCAGCAAAAGAGAGGAAAGAATGTTGTTCTAAGTCCAACATCAATATTTTAGAAATATATATATTAAAACTAAGTTCCAAAGCTACCAGGGTAAATGTGAAAGGAAAATAATTCAACTGTCTCATGACTAATGCTTCACCGTCACCCTGTGGCCTTCTGAAGTGTCATCCGGAAGGGAGGAAACAGGCCACTGACACTGCACCCACTTATTCAAGACCCAATTTAAATTAAGACTTGAATAACTTTAAACAGAAGTACATCAAGGAGCAGAAACTCTAAAAGGTATTCCAAAGCAGTGCTTTTTAAATTACCCAGAAGCCAACCAATGTAGGACAGAATGCTTTGAGACCACCAACCCTCAACTTCAATTAGAGGAACTTCACTTTCATCTCTTTTACATATTGGAATCTGATCAAGATTTTCTTTGAAGAAATATTTCTGAGACTAAAAAGCTGGTTTGTAAACTACTGCTCTGAATCAAAACTGTCCACTTAAAAAGGAAGTTTTTACTATTTGGGCGAGATATGCAAGTCCTTATACTACAGCTAAAAAAAATGAAAAGAAATGAACAATTCACTAAAGAAATATGACCAAAATGTATATGAAAGGTGAAAATCAGTCTCAAGTTTTCTACTTAGAAGGTGACTGATATGAATTGCCCGGGTCAGTGGTTCTGAGAGGTACACAACGGAAGAATAGGGACCCTAACAAAAACAGACTGCGCTTGACATGACTCCCTTCATTAGCAAAAAAAAAAAAAAAAAAAAGAGCTGAGAGAAGTTATTCCCAAAGGAGTTTCAGTGTAAGAAATATTAAGTGTATTTTCACAGGCAGATAGAAAATGGATATCAGGTATAAATAGCAAAAAAAAAAAAAAAAAAAGTAGAGCTGAGAGAAGCTGGAATGAAGAAATCTTACCTCCCAGGAGGGATTAAAAAGGTCATTGCAAAGTTCTTCGCAAAAGCTTTCTAAAGGCCATTCATTTGTCTGAATAAGAAAAACAGAATTACTACTAATTCAAAAGGTCTGTTTTATGCTAACAATTTAAGTAATTTAATAAAGTGTATTTATTTGTAGATCTAATAATAGGCTTTAAAATTTTAAATAATTAAAATTTTTACTAATGAAGTAAAGATACTTCAATGGATAGATTATTAAATATTATCTACTGACACATCAGTATAATAAAATTATAAACAATTTTAAAAGACCCCTTAAGGCATTTCAATAGTACCTCTTCAATTAAGGAAGAACTGTCTGGAATATTATCAATCAAGACTTTGGAATCATTTGCAGACTGATTAATAACAACATTTGCTATTTTTCGTCTCTTTTCTTCTGGTTCCCCATCAGTGCTATCATTGCTAAAAAATAAAAGGCACCATTTAAAAAAGTGAGTAAGGAATAATGTGAACCACAAAGAATGTAAGAGAATCCATCATTTGAACAAATGTTTTACCATATTCTACTTATACAGTTTACTTAAAATTTCACTATCAAATAAGAGTAACCACTTAAAAAGTTTTGAGTAAAATATATTCTCCTACCCTCACTGATGAATGTAAAATAGGTCCATAAATTCTCACTTTTAAACTGAATCTCAAATCTAACAAGTCTTTTTTACTTCTTCTCAACAACCAGCTCTTCTCCTTTTTGTTTTAAACTGTCTTGGTCTAACAACCTAAATCTGGCCCAGCATAACTTTACTAAGCTTTTGTACCCTGGAGGAAACGAACATACTGAGTAACATACTATAATCCTACCAGCTCTTGAAAAACATAGAGATAACTGACCGATGAAAAATGTGTCCAGAAAACCTGAGGAAATGTTATTTTATGACCAGAACAAAAATACTGAGGCTAGCCTAATAGTAAAGCATTACAGAAGATAAGGCAAATTAAACTACTTTATTCAGTATTAAAAGAAAGGACAATTAGCACAGTTAAGGTATATACAGCATTATTCTCTATAAACATCCTCTCCATCTTAATAATATGATTTATTTGGCCAACCATTTTTTCTAAAGGTGATGGAAGAAATCTGGCCCTCCTTAATACCATTTCTAATTATTATTCCCCTAATTCACTCCCTATTATTCTTCCCCTAATTCTCTCCAATCTAGCCACACTGGTTGGTCACCGTATTGTCCTTGAACTTTTAGGCATGTTTCTCCTTCCAGACATTTGCTTTTGCTGTTCCCTCTACTTGGAATGTCTTTTCCAAATATTCATAGGACTAGCATCCTCACTTCTTTCTGATCTTTAATGAAAAGTCACCTCTGTGAATCCCTCCCTGACCATCCTATCTAAAATTTCAAACTCCCCACAAAACATTCCACATGTTCTTTGTTTTATCTCCTTTGTGTTTCTTAACCCTTATCATTAACATGATATATGCATATATATACACACTATATTTACTTATTTATCTTCTTTTTTTAAAAGATTTCATTTGGGGGGCTCCTGGGTGGCTCAGTTGATAGCATCTGCCTTTGGCTCAGGTCATGATCCCAGAGTCCTGGGCCTGAGCCCTGTGTTGGGAGCCCTGCTCAGTGGGGAGTCTGCTTCTCCCTCTCCCTCTCCCCCTGCCGCCCCACCCCCCTCTCGTGCTCTCTCTCTCTCTCAAATAAATAAAATTTTACAAAAAAAAAAAAAAAGACTTTAAGTAATCTCTACACCTAACAAGGGACTTGAACTTACAACCCCAAGATGGAGAGTTGCATGCTCTACTGACTGACCCTGCCAGGTGCCCCTCTTCTTCCTCATTTATTTTTCCCTCTAGAATATAAGCTCCACGAAGGCAGAATTCTTATCTGTTTTATTCACCAATGCATCCTGAGGGCCTAAAACAGTACCTAGCACTTAGAAGGTAGTCAATAAATATTTGTGGAATGAATGAATCATAAACTCTGAAAAATAAGGTCAACTATTTCAATATTCAAATATTTGGGTAAATATGCTTATATGAATAAAGCCAATAGAAACTTATTAGGTTACTATATACAATCCTAGCTGTTTGCTTAAAAAACCCTATAGTTTAATAAAAGCTTAATAAAATTTTCATACTAAAAAAAAAAAACCCACCAAACAAAAAAACAACTTAACCCCAAGTAAAAATTTATACCAAGTAGATGTTTATTATTTATTCCCTCTATGTGCCTAGTCTTTAAATAAATGCCGTGGACACTTACTTTCTACCTTCATATGATGGAAAAACAAAAGGTTCTGTCACCTGGAAAAAAACTTTATTATAAGTTCTCATGCATTTAATTTATCCTTTACTCAAACACTTCTAGACCACCACTAAAGATCCTGATTCAATACAGCTAAGTGGGGCATGAAATTCTGTATTTTAATACATCCCTCAAAGTGCTTCTGAAGGTTGTTTTAAACCACTCTTAGAAATGCTGTTCCAAACCATACACTGATAGCACTTTTATTATTTCATTAAGAACAGGAGGATTTTGTCCAGAGTTTTTCCTACAATAAGATTAGGTAAACAAACCTGCACTATTACCTGCTATTTGGCTTAGCCCCCAGGCTGGAAGACAGATGATGTAACACTGGGACAGTTCTATACTCATGCAGTTTTCTTAACTTGTGGCCCTTAGACCATCTCTCTGACTTCACTGTACTACCCTCACTTCTGTCTACTCATCCTAGACATACTGCCTGTTTCTTTTTTTTTTTTTTAAGATTTATTTATTTATTTATTTGAGAGAGAATGAGATAGAGAAAGAGAGCATGAGAGGGGGGAGGGTCAGAGGGAGAAGCAGACTCCCCGCAGAGCAGGGAGCCCGATGCGGGACTCGATCCCAGGACTCCAGGATCATGACCTGAGCCGAAGGCAGTCGCTTAACCAACTGAGCCATCCAGGCGCCCGGCCTTTCTGTTTCTTGAATAGTCTATGATTAAGGCATTTACACTTGTTCTCTCCACCTGGAATGCACTTCCCTTGGAAGATCTTCAGCCTTCATCCAAAGGTCATAAATAGTAAGAAAAAAAATCTGCATGTGTAAATTATTCTGGGGAAGCTGTCCTAGTTCCTAGTAGTAGTAAATAATCTCTGACAATTGAGCAAGACAATCCAAATGGTATTCCACAGCCAAAGACAATGTCAGCAAATATTTTTAAAAATCAAGCAGACACAGATTTAAGCTATAAAGCATCATTATTTTAAATGAATAAGCAAAAAAAGATTACTACCTCTTCTCATTAGTTTCCACTGCATCCCTGGATCTCTGTTTTGCAAATAACTTGGCCATTCTTTTAGCTTTGTTCTTTTGTCTATTGCTCATTCCTGCTCGAAATTCTGAGTCAATCAATTCAGCTGCCTGGAGAGTCTAAAAGAATAAAAGAATGCTGTTTTAACTTTTGAAGTTAAATACCCATAGTCTTAGCCTCAGAAGAGGACTATGTCTATTACTTTCACTATATCCAAATTGACCACATTTTGACATCATGCTATCCTGTTGTATGGCTCTACCATAATTTCACTCTCTTCTTCCTTTTTCCCTATTCTTCCAATTCCCAAAAGATCCTTGTGTGTTTCTTAATTTTTATTGTCACAGATGAGGCACAAATGTATGATCACAACCCATAGAGAGGGTTTTGAAAAGGTGATACTTCAAAACAGCCACAGTAATAAAGAAAATGCAGTATATAGATACAATGGAATATTACTCAGCCATAAAAAATGAAACCTTGCCATTTGCAATAACATGGATGGATCTAGAGAGGATAATGCTAAGCAAAATAAGTCAGAGAAAGACAAATACCATATGATTTCACTCATAATTGGAATTTAAAAAACAAAACAAATGAACAAAGAAAAAAATAAAAGAGACAACCCAAAAAACAGACTCTTAACTATAGAGAACAAACTGATGGTTACCAGAGGGGAGGTGGATGGAAGTATGGGTGAAATAGGTGAAGGAGATTAAGAGTACACTTATTTGATGAGCTCTGAGTAATGTATAGAATTGTTGAATCAATATATTGTACACCCAAAACTAATATAACACTGTATGTTAACTATACCGGATTTAAAATAAAAACAAAACAAAACCAAAAAAAATTAATAAATAACCATAATACCACCCAAAAGTTATAAAGAACATCAATAAAAGAAACTGATAATAATCTGTTGAAAAAACTGAAAATTACAGCCATAAGTAGTGATCTAGCATCCTATAGTCAACTTAGCCCATATTGCTCCTTCCCTCTTAAGCAGTCTGTTTTTTGCTTTTGTTTTTTGGGGTTTTTTTTAAAGATTTATATATTCACTTAAGAGAGAGAGAGGGAGTGTGTGCGTGTGCACATGCACACACACAGAGAAGGAGAGGGAGAGAGAAACTCTGCAGACTCCTTGCTGAGCTTGGAACCCAACACCAGGCTCAATCTCACCATCCTGAGATCATGACCTGAGCAGAAACCAAGAATGGGACACTCAACTGACTGTGTCACCCAGGGGCCCCTGTCTACTGTTTTTGCTCTTTTCCGAAATTCATGACATTATAAAGGCTGTGAGGTAGAAATGCTTTGAATTCAAGCCTAAAAATCCTTTCTGCTCTCAACTGATTAATATTCAACTGAAATTCACACTTTGACAACCAATCAGGGTCACTCATATGGATGCCCTACTATAGTCCTGGTCCAGGGACCACTGGCATAAATACAAGCAGTGATGAACCTAGCGCAACAAGTAACATTAAGCAACTCCTACCATAGGTCCATGACATATAAGGCCAACCCATCTTGGATCCTGCAAACCTCAAACTGGCTGTTGCCCATCCCATATACAACTATTCTGTCTATAGCCCATGTTCTCTAATATCCCTGGCCCACCTTTTTTCTTCTATCCTACACAATTACAGCACTGTGATCACATTACATTTTTATTCTCCTTTATTCTATTTTCTTATTTTTTATTTACACCTATGCTTCCCTTTGTACCCCACTTCTTTCTATTCCTTCCTGATGTCATATCTTCTGCCTCTTTGTACTCTTCTTTTTTCCTCTGGAATGTTCCAATTATTTTCTTGTCTGCAAAAGTTACTCATCAACACAGGGGCGCCTGGGTGGTTCAGTCGGTTAAGCGGCTGCCTTCGGCTCAGGTCATGATCCCGGAGTACCGAGATCGAGTCCCGCATCGGGCTCCCTGCTCAGCAGGGAGTCTGCTTCTCCCTCTGACCCTCCCCTCTCTCATGCTCTCTGTCTCATTCTCTCTCTCAAATAAATAAATAAAATCTTTAAAAAAAAAAAAAAAGGTTACTCATCAACACATACTCCCTTAACCCTAAAAAACAGTTTGCAAATTCTGATAGTTTAGAGAACAACTAGTATAAAGGCAAAAGAAAAGGCCAAAAGAAAGAGAAGGTGTTTCATGACTACAAAGCAAGAATTCTTTTTTTTTTTTTTAAAGATTTTATTTATCTATTTGAGAGAGTGAGAATGAGAGAGAGAGAGAGTATGAGGGGGGGAAGGTCAGAGGGAGAAGCAGACTCCTCGCTGAGCAAGGAGCCCGATGTGGGACTCGATCCTGGGACTCCAGGATCATGACCTGAGCCGAAGGCAGTCACTTAACCAACTGAGCCACCCAGGCGCCCGACAAAGCAAGAATTCTTAACAAGGACCAGGAAACCCTAAAAGATACTGCAGGGGCAAGAGGAAAGAATACCAAACCCCTTGAATGGTAATATTTCACTTGCATGTGAATTTTTCTGAGAAGAGAGCCACAGCTTTTACTGGAGCTTAAATAGTTTGGGACATTTAAAAAAAAAAAAAAAAAGGCAGTAACAGCATGTAGGCATCCAATGGGAATTGGAAGAATAGAGAAAAGGGAGGAAAACAAAGCAAATTATGGTACAGCCAATACAACAAAAGAGCATGAAGCTATCAAAAAATATATAATCAATCTGTATATATTGATATGTTCAGCTATATGAAATGGGAAAAGGTAAATATGGCTTAAAAAGACACAAATACTCGTGTATATATGTACAAGTTAAAGGGTTGCCTGTGGGACATGGGGACATGGGTGTCCATCAATTATTGAAAACTTCTTTTACTTCATATTGTATACCTTTTTGCACTGTTTGAAAAGTGTTCTTGTTATCATGTCTGTTACTTTCTCAAATAAAAGAATAAGTCATAGCTCTAAAGATTTTTAGTATCATCACACTAGCCCTTACTATCTTCCAGTCTCTCAAGCATTTACTTTTTTTTTTTTTTCACTAAAAAACAAAGGAAAAAGCAACTAGGATCTCTCAACAGCAGTGGCTCCTAAAAAGTCCCCCACAGCTTTTATCTAACAGTCAATCCAGAGTCTACAAGGTAGGCTGAACTTTTCTCTTAAGAATCTGTTGTTAGAAATCCATTTACGAAGACACTAAATTATAGTGGCACAAGCGGTAATGAGCATAATTAAGAACAGCATTTTTTTTAATTGCAATTACATGGCAAAATGAGGCAAAACCTTTGTATTATTATTTGCAATCAAACAACCAAAGATTTTACCTACAGGTTGTTTGTTTACAAGGGCTGCTGAAGTCGGGGTATAATCCAAATCTTCATCATTGAAGAGTTCTTCAGTACTCATTCCAATGGCCTCTCCCATATTAAGACCAAGTTTCTTCTGTAATAGTTTCCGTTGTCGTGCTATCCTCTCTTTAGGATCCACTTCACCTTTAAACAGAAAAGAAATATATTTCCTCCAAATCAGGTAAGAAGTTTTCTAATAAATGAAGATCAAACTTGATTAAAAATTTTAATTATTAAAATTACAACAAAACAAACCATACTCACAATCTCTGTGAGTCCTAACTATGATTAAAAAAAAGTGTTCTAGAGGCTCCTGGGTGGCTCAGTCGTTAAGCATCTGCCTTCGGCTCAGGTCATGATCCCAGGGTTCTGGGATCGAGCCCCACATCAGGCTCCCTGCTCGGCGGGAAGCCTGCTTCTCCCTCTCCCTCTCCCCCTGCTTGTGTTCCCTCTCTCTCTGTGTCTCTGTCAAATAAATAAATAAATCTTAAAAAAAAAAAAAAATAGTGTTCTAGCTAACAAAACACTCTAGGACTTTTCATTGAGATTCCCCCATTGCCCTACTGTTAATTATCAAATATATATAAAATGAGATCCACTCCTGTGGAAATAAACCATTTTATTTATTTATTTTTTTAAATAGGCTCCACACCCAATGTGACTTTGTATTTCTTTTGTGTGAGTGAACTGAAATCATGCCTTCAATCAAAACAACCTGGGGTTTTCACTTCCCCAAAATGGGAACTTGATGCTGAGGAGCTACCTGCCAACTCCATGTGAGTAGTTTATGCATTTTCATTCAGCAGGTCATAATCTGCATGTTCTTAATTTAATACACCACCTATGGGCCCCCCAACAAAGCAAGGATGTGGAGAAACTGGAAACCTTGTGCACTGCTGGTGTGAATGTAAAATGGTATACCTACTATGGAAAACAGTATGGCAGTTCCTAAAAAAATTAAAAATAGAAATACAATGTGATCCAGTATTTCCTCTTCTGGGTATATAACCAAAAGAACTAAAGGCAGGAATTCAAAAAGATATCTGTATACCCATGTTCATAGATAGCAGCATTATTTACAATAACCAAAAAGTAGAAGCAACCCAAATATCTACTGATGGATGAATAAACAAAATGCGGTATAAATACACACTGGAATAATATTCAGCCTTAAAAAGGAAGGAAATTCTGACACAGACAATGACATAGATGAATGCTGAGATTATGTTAAGTGAAACAAGCCAATCACAAAAGGACAAATACTGTTATGACTCTACTTATATGAAGTACCTAGAGTGGTCAAATTCATAAAGACAGAAAGCAGAATGGTGGTTGCCAGGGGCTGGAGGGAGTGAGGAATGGGAATTGTTTAATGGGTACAGTAATTCCCACTCATCCATGGTTGTCAGTTACCACGGTCCATGGTTTCAGTTACCCCCAGTCAACAACAGTACAGAGGCAGATGATCCTGCTTTCGACATATTGTCAGAAGGTCAATAGCAGCCTAACACTACATCACGATGCCTATGTCATTCACCTTACTTCATCTCATCACCTAGGCATTTTATCATCTTACATCAGCACAAGAAGGGTGAGTACATTACAGTAAGATATTTCGAGAGAGATTTCTATAATTTTTATTAAAATATATTGTTATAATAGTTCTATTTTATTATTGTTGTTGTGAATCTCTTACTGTGCCTAATTTATAAACTAAATGTACAGGAAAAAAGAGTATATATATGGTTTGGTACTACTACCTACAGTTTCAGGTTTGAAATATATCCTTTGTGGATAAGGGGGACTACTGTATAAAGTTTCAGTTTTGCAACATGAAGAGTCCTGGAGATTGGCTTACAACAATGTAAATGTACTTAATATTGCTGAACTATACACATAAAAAAATAGTTAAGATGTAAATTTTATGTTATCTACACTCTACCACAATTAAAAAACTGATACATCCAGTAATAAAAACTATTTAGGGAAACGAAATAAGTACTGATATATATTACAGGGTGGATAAACCTTGGAAACACTCTAAGAAGTCAGTCACTAAAGATCACATATTAGATAATTCCATTTATAAGAACTGTCCAGAATAGGCAGAGACAGAAAAATGCTTACGGCCTGGAAGGGAAGGGAAGGGAAGGGAAGGGAAGGGAAGGAGTAGGCGTAGGAGGTTGAAAGCTAAAGGTTATAGGGTTCTTCTTGAGATAAGGAAAATAGTCTAAAACTGACTGCATATATCTGTGAATTGTACACTTTAAAAATGGGTGAACTGTATGGTATGTGAATTTTATCTCAATAAAGCTATTTAAAAATTTAAGACTGCTCTACCTGGAGGGAAAAACACTAGGCATCCAAAAGTGAAGACTGCTGGATCACAAGTCCATGACACTTATACAGAACCCAAATTCAGTCCTCTCATTCCAGGGAAAGCCCTATTGGGGAAAATAACCTATACAACTGCAAAGGAAAATCAGACTAGCACCTATACTAATCATGGATGTGTCCTTCGTGTATGAGGAAACAAACACAGATAAACAGACACGTAAAGAAAATCTAATTAAGAGAATTTTTAATGAGCACTAATCAGCATACTGCGACTTAACAGCATTAAAATCTTAGTTGCCCAAAAATTGGGGTTCCTAATCTTGGTTATGTATCAGTCACCCGTAGAGTTTTTTTCTTTTAAATACAACATCCTGGACTTCAAGCTGTATTACAAAGCTGTAATCATCAAGACAGTATGGTACTGGCACAGAAACAGACACATAGATCAATGGAACAGAATAGAGAACCCAGAAATGGACTCTCAACTCAGTGTCAACTAATGTTTGACAAGGCAAAAAAGAATATCCAATGGAAAAAAGACAGTCTCTTCAACAAACGGTGTTGGGAAAATTGGACAGTCACATGCAGAAGAATGAAACTAGACCATTTCCTTACACCATAAACAAAAATAGACTCAAAATGGATGAAAGACCTCAATGTGAGACAGGAATCCATCAAAATCCTAGAGGAGAACACAGGCAGCAACATCTTTGACCTCAGCTGCAGCCACTTCTTGCTAGACACATCTCCAAAGGCAAAAGCAAAAATGAACTATTGGGACTTCATCAGGATAAATAGGTTCTGCAGAGCAACGGAAACAGTCAACAAAACTAAAAGGCAACCTACAGAATGGGAGTAGACATTCACAAATGACATATCAGATAAAGGGCTAGTATCCAAGATCTATAAAGAACTTAACACACTCAACACCCAAAAAAACAAAAAAATCCAATCAAGAAGTGGGCAGCAGACATTAACAGACATATTCTCCAAAAACATACAAATGGCCGACACATGAAAAAATGTGCGAAATACAAATCAAAACCACAATAAGATACCACCTCACACTGGTCAGAATGGCTAAAATTAACAAGTCAGGAAACAACAGATATTGGTGAGGATGCTGAGAAAGGGGAACCCTCTCTCTTCCACTGTTGGTGGGAATGCAAGCTGATGCAGCCAGTCTGAAAAACAGTATGGAGGTTCCTCAAAAAGTTGAAAATAGAGCTACCCTACAACCCAGCAATTGCACTATACTGGGTATTTATCCCAAAGATACAAATGCAGTGATCCAAAGGGGCACCTGCACCCCAATGTTTATAGCAGCAATGTCCACAATAGCCAAACTATGGAAAGAGCCCAGATGTCCGTTGACAGATGAATGGATAAAGATGTGGTGTATATATATATACCATGGATTATTATGCAGCCATCAAAGAATTGAAATCTTGCCATTTGCAATGACATGGATGGAACTAGAGAGTATTATGCTAAGCAAAATAAGTCAATCAGAGAAAGACAATTATCATAGGATCTCACTGCTTTGTGGAATTTAAGAAACAAGGCAGAAGATCATAGGGGAAGAGAGGAAAAAATGAAACAAGACGAAACCAGAGAGGGAGACAAACCATAAGAGACTCTTAATCTCAGGAATCAAACTGAGGTTTGCTGGAGGGGAGGTGGGGTAGGGGGATGGGGTAGCTGGGGTGATGGACATCACACACGTTGTGGTGAATGCTGTGTATTGTGTAAGACTGATGAATCACAGACCTGTACCCTCAAAACAAATAATATATGTTACTAATAAAAAAAAAATATGGAAAGAGCCCAGATGTCCATCAATGGATAAATGGATAAAGATGTGGTATGTATACAATGGAATATTACTCAGCTATCAAAAAGAATGAAATCTTGCCGTTTGCAATGACATGGATGGAACTAGAGGGTATTATGCTAAGCGAAATAAGTTAGTCAGAGAAAGACAAATCCCATTATGTTTTCACCTACAATGTGGAATTTAAAAACAGCAAAACAGATGAACATAGAAGGAAAGGAAAAATAAAAAGAGAGGGAGACAAACCACAAGAAACTCTTAACTATAGGAAACAAACTGAGGGTTGCTGGAAGGGAGGTGGGTGGGCGGATGGGGTAACTGGGTGATGGGCATTAAGGAAGGCACTTGATATATCGAGCACTGTGTGATGAATCACTAAATTCTACCCCTGAAACTAATAATACACTATATGTTAACTAAACTGAATTTAAATTTAAAAATTTATATAAAAATAGATACGGGCGCCTGGGTGGCTCAGTTGTTAAGCGGCTGCCTTCGACTCAGGTCATGATCTCAGGGTCCTGCGATCAAGCCCCACCTCGGGCTCCCTGCTCAGCACAGAGCCTGCTTCTCCCTCTCCCTCTGCCTGCTACTCTGCCTAATTGTGCTCTCTGTCAAAAAAATAAAATCTTTAAAAAATAAAAAAGCAAATAGATAGATAGATAGATAGATAGATAGATAGATAGATAGATAGATAGGGGCGCCTGGGTGGCTCAGTCATTAAGCGTCTGCCTTCGGCTCAGGTCATGATCCCAGGGTCCTGGGGATCGAGCCCTGCATCGGGCTCCCTGCTCGGCGGGAAGCCTGCTTCTCCCTCTCCTCCTACTTGTGTTCCCTCTCGCACTGTCTCTCTCTCTCTCTCTGTCAAATAAATAAAAAATCTTTAAAAAAATATATAAATAAAAATAAATAAATACAATGTCCTAGAACTTTCCACAGATCTATTAAATCTGAATCTCGATGATAAGACCCAACTACATATATTTTTTTAAGTGACAATGGTGACACTGACTTTTACTCCTGGATAAGGGCCAATGATCTCTGATATGAGTACAACAGTAAAATTAGTAAACTTACTGTTTAGAGAGAACTTTTTTCAAATCAGAAAGTTTTTGAAATGACTTCTACCTCCCTTATTAGAAAAACTATGCTTTTCTGGAACTTAACCAAATTCCCCTCTTAATTCTCTCCAAAAATAGTTAAAGTACAATTGACCCTTGGACAATGTGGGGATTAGGGACACCAACTCCCCAAGTAGCTGAAAATCTGTGTATAACTTTGACCCCCTCCCCAAAACTTAACTACTAATAGCCTCCTGTTGATCAAAAGCCTTACCAATAACATCAACAATTAACACGTATTTGTACATGTATTATATACCATATTCTTAGAGTAAACTAAGCTAGAGAAAACATTAAGAAAATCATAAGGAAAATACATTTACAGTACCATACTGTATTTATTGAAAAAAAATTTGCATATAAGGGGACCTGCACATTTCAACAACCTATGGTGTTCTGAGATTAACCGGAAATATTTCAATAGAAACCGTATTTAAACAAGAGTAAATGGGTGTTTGACTTTTTTTTTAAGATGAACAAGTGATCATTTCATTAACTTAGCTAGATAGATATGCTTTGAGTAACGATTAATTTTATTAGTAACAAAAACTGTTGTTTTGATTTTAGTCAAAAGAGCAACTTACTTACAGAAATCCATCAAAAAACATCAAGGTTTTTTCCACTCAAGGCATCAATTTTGAATGGCCAAAAAATTTATTTTATATCCAGATGGATTCTGTAAGTTTAAAGACAGTGGGACTATGTCCTATCCAATATTTATTTTTTTCATTTTTAGTGTTTGTTTTGGTCACCAGCATGAGATCCAATTATTTAAATTTTTTAAACACATGATAAAAAGAAAGCTGTCATAAAGCCTCTCAAATGTCCAGAATTATGAAAACAGTATCACAAACTGTACTAATCCTGGCTTTTAAAATCTATTCAACCAAGGCTCTTGGGGTACACTTTATAATTTCTCTATTACATAATAAAAAGCCTGCTGAAATACTAATATGTATCTATTAACAATGTATAGATATGGTACACATTCACTTAAAAGGAGGAAAATATTCATATAGCATATTTTTAGACCAAATACTTTTGGTTATCTTCTCCACCCACAATGTCTCCCCTTCCCCAACTGCATACTTCAATTTACATTTTGTAACATCTATTAAGATTTTGCATGACTGATATGTAGCATACCAAGTGATATTTTAGCCTGAACACAAACATTTCAGACTTTCTTCTATAGGACTACTACATACCTGATTTTTCATCTTGTACTTCAAATTCTGCACCAGCAGATCCCAAAAGTGATGCCCCATGCTGTAACAATCTACATATATCAAATCTGTCAAAATTCAATCGATCTGTAGTAGGTGAATCTTCCATAGCACTTTCTGAAGTAGATTCTAAATGAGGTTGAAAAATACTTAATTTGATCATAAAGCCAAAGTGTAGAATGAAAGAAAACAGCATTACTTGGGGTGGTAGTATAACATTTTAAGAAAAATAAAAGGCAGAGGAAGTAGAAAAGCTACTGTGGATTTATTTATGATCAGCTCTTATTTATGAATAAACTATGTAGTTGGTGGCTCCCACTGTACAAACTATCAGAATGTCGGTGTATGTATAGCTGTTTTTCACTAAAAAGGCATATTATTATATGAAGAAATGCATCCCATATTGAAATATGTATGTTAAATATCATATTGTATCGGGACACCTGGGTGGCTCAGTCGCTTAAGCATCTGCCTTCAGCTCAAGTCACGATCCCAGGGTCCTGGAATTAAGTCCCGCATTGGGCTCCTTGCTCAGTGGGGAGCCTGTTTCTCCCTCTGCTGCTGCTCCCCCTGCTTGTGCACATGCTCTCTCTCTCTCTGACAAAATCTTTAAAAATATATATATTATGTGTGTGTGTGTCTGTGTATATATATATATTGTCTCTATTTACTGTTTTAACTGGTTGAAAACACTACCAAGGTAACAGCCTGAGTTCATCATAGTACTAATTTGGAAAACAAACATATTTAGAGAATATATTCATATATAAGCTAATAAGCATCATTCGTCCCTATAGCTAAGGAGTATCTATGACACAAATCAACTCTTCATTCAATAGGACTCCTCATAATATGAGCAAATTATAATCTCCTGGTAAATTGCTAAAATTATATATCCATCTGAGGCCTAAAAGCATCATAAAATGTTTTGTATTCCTCTTCAAAAAAGGTTATGCCATTATAAATTTTTAAATATATTTTAATTGGTCACTGACTTTACTTTGTTTAGCTACTACTTGCATATAATTCATTTATTAAACTAAACTATAATTATTTTAAGTTTTCCAGTGATGACAAGCAACCTTACCATAAATTTTAATGCTGGTGTAACTAATTTAATGTTTTGTAAAAAGAATCTGAGTTCTAACATCTCTATATACCAAAATAAGCAGGGAAAATAAGCTAAAAAAGAAAAAGCTCCTTTCTAAAACAAGTTATAACTTCTTCTGGTTATGTATTTCATTTGATGAGAGAGGACAAATTAATACAGTCTCTCAACATAATAGGTGCCAGATAATTAAAGCAAAATTTCAGACAAGCTAAAATGTATGATAAAAGTGAGGTTATCAAAGTGACTTGAAAATGTAATCAGGTTGCACCACATTAAATTTTCACTTAAGGGATGTCTGAGTGGCTCAGTCGGTTAAGCATCTGCCTTCAGCTCAGGTCATGATCCCAGGATCGAGTCCCACATTGGGTTCGAGTCCCACATCGGGCTCCCTGCTCGGCGGGGAGCCTGCTTCTCCCTCTGACTGATGCTCCCCTACTTGTGCTCCCCCCCTTTCTCTCTGACAAATAAATGAAATCTTTAAAAAATAATTTCACTTAAAGTGCGTATCTTTACAAATTTTTAAAAGCATATGCTCGTTCTTAAATATTGTTGCAGGCAGTCAGAAAAATAATTTCTACAACAAGACATCTAAAGGACACATTAGAAACTAAAGACCCCTCCAAATATCCATAAATAATTGTGCTTAAATTTAGAAAATAATTACACTATTCTCCCAGCAACAAGAAAAAACACTGCTTCAAATATTTACACTGCATTATTTAGTTCTTTTTTTAGGACATAAATTCCTGAGGGAAGCAATAATCTCTTTAAGTCAAGCATACTGTACAGTTAATAATTTTAAAAATATATATGAAAACATACTTTATCTAGTAGTTTTTTAAAAGCAAGGTGAAAGAGGCGCCTTGGTCGCTCAGTTGGCTGTCTACCTTCAGCTCGGGTCATGATCTCAGGGTCCTGGGATTGAGCCCCACATCGGGCTCCGTGCTCAGCAAGGAGTCTGCTTCTCCCTCTCCCTCTGCCCCTCCCCACCCCTCAAGCATGCACATGCGCAAAAGCTGTCTCAAATAAATAAAATCTTAAAAAAAAAAAAGTATGGTGAAAATCACCTTATTCATTGTCATTTCCTGACAAAGCTGTACCTGAGAATTAAGCCTTTAAATTAAAATTGAAATTATTAAAATATAAAATGTATAGTTAATTCTATAGGTAGACTGTTACTGCAAACTACTTTTACCACTTAAAAGCACCTTGTTTGGTTCTTGGTACTGGATTCCACTCAGGTACATTTTTCACTATAGCTTCAACAGCTTGTCCTGCTGCAATCCGGGTATCCCAATTTGTACTCCTTAAATATATCAACACCTTAAAAAATTATAAGATAAAATAGTTATACCAAAATACTGTTTGTTCAAAGTAGCCAGAGCAGAGAAATACAAATTTACTTGTTATTAATTTATAATTTAGCAGCCGTTGGACTTTACATAAAAATTTATATAAAACACCTTGGAATTATATCATTTACAAGATTCTATCATTCACAGGAAATATCACTACCCCTTAAAAAGAAAGGAAACAGGAAACTTTTAGTTAACTTAAGTACATTTAAAAATAACCTACCTTTTAATACAGTAAAAAGCAAAATGTGTATTTTCATTAAGTCCCATTACTTAATGCAAAGAGTTAAGTTGTAAAAACTAGCAGAAAGAACAAATGAGTTCAGCAGGATGGGAAGATATAAAATCAATATACAAAAATCAACTGTTTTGCTAAATACTTTCAATAAACAATTGGAAAATAAAATTTTTAAAATCCCATTTATAATAGCACCAAAAAGTATAAAATACTTAAATGTAAACTTAAAGTACAAGACTCATATACGGAAAATTACAGAAAAATTCAAAATACCATTGAAAGAAAGGAAATAAGATCTAAAACAGAAAGACACCTCACCTCATGTTTGTGGATCTACAGATTTAATACTGTTAAGAGAGTAATACTCCCTCAATTGATCTACTGATTCAACAAAATTCCTATCAAAATCCCAGCTCACTTTTTTTGCAGAAATGGGCAAGTTGATCCTAAAATTTATATGGAAATGCAAGGGACCCAGGGTCACCAAAACAATCTTGAAAAAGAATAATAAAGTTGGTATACTCACACTTCTTGATCAAAACTTACTATGTGGTACTGGCAAAAGGACAGATACACAGATCAATGGAACAGAACTGAGAGTCTAGAAATAAAACTCTCTATAGTCAACTGATTTTCAACAAGAGTGCCAAGACAATTCAATGGGGAAAGAATAGTTTTTTCCACAAACGGTGCTAGGGCAACAAAATGATTGTGAACCCCTACCTAACACCACACACACACACACACACACACACACTCAAAATGAGCCATAAGTCTAAAAGTAAGATCTAAAGCTATACAATTCTTAGAAGAAAACACAGGGGTAAATCTTTGTGACCGTGGATCAGGCAAGATTTCTTAGATATGATCCCAAAAAGCACAAGGGATATGAAAAAAAAAGGATAAATCTGACTAAATCAAAATTAATAACTTTTTTTTTTTTTAAAGATTTTATTTATCTATTTGACAGAGAGAGACACAGCGAGAGAAGGAACACAAGCAGGGGGAGTGGGAGAGAGAGAAGCAGGCTTCCCGCGGAGCAGAGAGCCCAATGCGGGGCTCGATCCCAGGACCCCGGGGTCATGACCTAAGCCGAAGGCAGACGCTTAACGACTGAGCCACCCAGGCGCCCCAAAATTAATAACTTTTATGCTTCAAAGGACACCATCAGGAAAGTGAAAAGACAACCACAGACTGGAAGAACGTATTTGCAAATGAAATACCTTGTAAGAAGCTTGTATCCAAAATATATAGAGAACTATTACAACTCAATATTAAAAGAACAAATATCCCACTTAAAAATGGGCAAAGGATCTAGAGGCGCCTGGGTGACTTAGTCGGTCAAGCATCTGACTCTTGATTTCAGTTCAGGTCATGATCTCAGGGTTATGAGATCAAGCCCCACACTGGGCTCCACATTGGGCATGGAGCCTGCTTAAGATTCTCCGTCCCTCTCCCTCTGTCGTCCCCCCTCCAAAAAAGAAGAAATGGGTAAAGGATCTGAAGAGACAGTTCTCCAAAAAAGATACACCAAGGGTCAATAAACACATGAAAAGATGCTCAACATCACTAGTCACCAGGAAAATGCAAGTCAAAACTACAATGACATATCACTTAACACTCACTAGTATGGAAATAATCAAAGTAAGTTAATAACAAGCATTGGCAAGGATGTAAAAAAAAATCAGCTCTCTCATACACTACTGTTAGGAATGTAAAACAATGGAGCGAGTTTGGAAAACAGCCTGGCAGTTCCTCATAAAGTTAAACATAGTTACTATATGATCCAGCAATTCTATCCACAGGTATAAACCCAAGAGAAATGAAAACATACACCCCACACAAAAACTTGTACATGAATTTTCACAGCAGCATTATTCATCAAAGGCCAAAAAGTGGAAACAACCCAAATGTCCACCAACTGATGAACAGATAAGATGTGGTATATCCACATAATATATTCAGATCACATCCATACAATGGAATATTTGGTAATAAAAAGGAATGAAGTAATGAGACAAGCTTCAATATGAAAGAACCTTAAAAATATTATTTTAAGTGAAAGAAACCAGTCACATTAATATAAAATTTTCACAATAGACAAATCTATAGGCAGAAAGTAGATTGGGGTTGCCTAGGACTAGGTATGGGAGGGAGAGTGATGGAGAGTGACTGCTAATGGGCATGAGGTTTCTTTTTGGGGAAATAAAAATGCTTTAAAATTAGGTTGTGGTGATGACTGCACATATCTAAAATCACTGAGGGGTGGGGCGCCTGGGTGGCTCAGTCGTTAAGCATCTGCCTTCGGCTCAGGTTATGATCCCAGGGTCCTGGGATCGAGCCCTGCATCAGGCTCCTTGCTCTGCGGGAAGCCGGCTTCTCCCTCTCCCTCTCCCCCTGCTTGTGTTCCTGCTCTCGCTACCTCTCTCTCTGTCAAATAAATAAATATTTTAAAATTTAAAAATAAAAAAAAAATCACTGAGGGGCACCTGGCTGGCTCAGTGGGTGGAGCATGTGACTCTGAGTCTTGGGGTTGTAAATTCAAGCCCTATACTGGGTGCAGAGATTACCTGAAAATAAAATCTTAAAAAAAAAAAATCTTTAAGGAGCGTCTGGGTGGCTCAGTCATTAAGCGTCTGCCTTCAGCTTAGGTCATGATCCCAGGGTACTGGGATCAAACCCCACATCGGGCTCCCTGCTCCACAGGAAGCCTGCTTCCCCTCTCCCATTCCCCCTGCTTGTGCTCCCTCTCTCGCTGTGTCTCTCTCTGTCAAATAAATAAATAAAATCTTAAAAAATCCTAAAAAAAATCTTTAAAAAAGTAAAATAAAACAACTGAATTGTACAATAAGCAGTTTAAAAAAAAACCAAAAGGCAACAGGAAAACACTGAGGGGAGAGAAAAGAGGTTAAGAGGTGAGAAGGTATGAAAGACAAACTTTGCCTCTTTTGGAATTATTTGATGACAGCCAATATGCCAGGATCTAAGTTAAGCAGAACAGAACTCAGAAGGCTGGAAACCTTTTCTCAGTTCAGCACAAATTTGTTTTGCTCCCAGTCTCCAGTTTCTGCTCATTCAGTCCCCCAACTTTTTCTCTGGGGTCAAAAGAAATGAGTATGCATCTCTATCCCCCTACCTTACATATTGAGAATAGTGTCTAATATGCATCCTTCTCCATTCTGAGAACATGGAGCCTGTGGATATCAAATCACTGTCTCTTCATCTACATATTGGTTAGAAAATCCTAATAATATCTAAGTGATAAATATATTGGAAAAGACAGTTACGGTCAGCCCTCATGGTGGGAACCATATCATACAGATTTGTATATTCACAAGGCCTTAGAACTCCTACTCATATGAATCAAGAAGGGACAAATGAGAATCAAAGGAGGGGGTAAGGGGCGCCTGGGTGGCTCAGTCAGTTAAGTGTCTGCCTTTGGCTCAGATTGTGATCCTGGGGTCCTGGCATCAAGCCCCACATCGGGCTGCCTGCCTGCTCAGTGGGGAGTCTGCTTCTCCCTCTCCCTCTTATCCCTTGCTCATATGCTCTCTCTCTCTCAAATAAGTAAATAAAATCTTTTAAAGGAAAGAAGGAAGGAAGGGAGGAAGGGAGGAAGGAAGGAAGGAATGCCAGCCAGGAGGAAGAGAGGGGTCTTGGGATTTCGATATTGCTCCCCAACCCTATCCTCTATTCCCACCTGAGCCCCCCAACACACAAAGCGTTCCAGGTTTTACTTTGTATGCCAGAAAAAAATTTTTTAAAGATTTATTTTAGAGAGAGAGAGAGAGAGAACATGTGCATGCACGCAAGGAGGGAGGATTGGGGGTAAGAGCAGAGAGCCACATGAGGCTCGATCCCACGACCTGTGAGATCACGACCTGAGCTGAAACCAAGAGGTGGATGCTCAACTGACTGAGCCACCCAGGCGCCCCTGCATGCCAGAGAATTATTAAACACATGGAATGTGTTGCTTACCATCATCAGGCACACTTCTACAAGCCAGAGTTCAGTAAAAATACAGCCATTGCTTAGGGAAAGAATATGGGCTGGTATTATGAAAAACACTGATCCACCAAAGCAGAAAGCCTCCACTTTCAAACAGGTGATAACTTAAAATGTAATGATAACTAGCTTCTCATATATTTCAATCATTTCCCATGAGTACTCAATCCATTTGAAGACTGCCAACTAGATATAATTACTAGCCGTTAAGAACAAGTCAGACCACTGACAAACTAGATTAACAACGTAGTTCATTACCAAATTGGGTCAGATTCAAATTTGTGCCACAGGCAAAAGGTTGTATATTGTCAAATCACTTAGACAATTAAACTTGATGCAAAAAAACCCAAAATATTTTAAATCTTGTGACAAAAAAGAAAGACCAAATTTAAAAAAATATCTGGAGAAATAGTAAGATATTTAATGGAATTTGAAGACCACAAACTGCCACTAAATAAAAATAAGAATTTCTATTGTTATATTACTATCCACAAATTTCTACAACTGCGTTATACTAAAAGAAAAAAAGAGTTCTTACTTTAGATAAAAGATTATTTAGTTCATGAGGATGAAGCTTTACCACTTCTCCAAGTTGCTGTGCAGCAGCTTTTCTTGTAACTGGAGTAGTGCCAGTATCCAGTAAGATAAAAAGACGGTCAAGCCTAAAATAACAAAAATATAATGATTATTCTGAAACGTGTTTCCTCATTGGTGTAAGTTTAAGTCAGTAAATGTATTGAGCATTTATGAACGAAGACCTATTCTAGGGCTACAGGAGAATCTCTACTCTTAAGGAACTTGCAATTGGGGGTAGGGTAAGTAGGAAGGCAAGTACACAAATAATTAGAATACAGGATACAATAACATTGTGTCAGAAAAGAAATACAAAGTGCTCTGAAGAGTGGGAACAGAGGGAGCAAATACTATATATCCCCAACTGTGTAATACTGAAAAGGCTTCATAAAATAAATGGTGTATGAGATGGACCTTAATAGGTCGACCACAAAGGTCCTGGTGGAACTAGAGCGCTATTTTAGGAAGATTAATCTGGCAGCAGTGTGAAGCATGAAGTGTAATGGAAGAAAACTTTTAGAGAGTTTTAGGCTAAAAGTGCAGACCTAAACTACCATCATGGCGAGAAGCCTATAAAGAAGTTGGGAGAGGGGCGCCTGGGTGGTTCAGTTAGTTAAGCAGCTGCCTTTGGCTCAGGTCAGGATCTCGGGGTCCTGGGATAGAGCCTGGCATTGGGCTCCCTGCTCAGCGGGGAGTCGGCTTCTCCCTCTGCTCCTTCCTAGGCTTGTGTGCTCTCTCTCTCTCAAATAAATAAGTAAAATCTTATTTATTCTTTTTTTAAAGATTTTTTTTATTTATTTGACAGAGACACAGCGAGAGAGGGAACACAAGCAGGGGGAGCAGGAGAGGGAGAAGCAGGCTTCCAGCTGAGCAGGGAGCCCAATGTGGGACTCCATCCCAGGATCCTGAGATCATGACCTGAGCCGAAGGCAGACGCTCAACAACTGAACCACCCAGGCGCCCTAAATAAGTAAAATCTTCTTAAAAAAAATTTTTTTTAATTAAAAAAAAGAAGTTGGGAGAGAGGCTGCAGAGGATAAACATACATGGTGCAATAATGAAATGTCAAGAAAATTAAAGGACTCTCAGACTCTGAATCTTAGAAAATGAAGATGTCATTTTTAAAATGGGAAGAACTAGTAGAGAAAATATGATGGGAAAAGATGGTAAGTTTACTAGTGGTGGGGACAGGATAGCTAGGAGAGACCAAAACGGATAGCTGGAATAGAGCTCTGAAATTCAGGAAGAGTTGAGACTAAAGGTATATAGGTATATGGGGTCATTTGTATAGAAGTGATAAATATGGCAATAAATAAGATCTCTGAGTAAAATGTTTCCAAAGGCATACAGCATAATGGCATCAATTCTAGAGCCACAACACCACAGTTCAAATTCCAATTCTGCCATGTATCCAATGAATAAAGCTTGGAATAATATCACAATGCCTTATACCTGGAATAGGTAAGAAGTGGAACAGTGTATTACTGTCATTTTGGAATACAGGAAAATCCTAAGGTTTTAGAAAGGCAAAGTAACAAGTAACTACCACCAACTATCCACATATAATATAGGTTTAGCTTTCCTATCACACTACTAATCAGGCTCAATAAGGCAAAGTGAATGCCACAGGTAATGAAAAGAAGGCAGCTTCATACTTCATATATGGAATAAATGGGTACTTTTAAAAAAGATGGAGGATGGGGCACCTGGGTGGGTTAGTCGATTGAGCATCCAACTCTTGGTTTCCGTCTCAGGTCATAATCTCAGGGTGGTGAGATGGAGCCCGAGGCCGGTTCCACACTCAGTTGGGAGTCTGCTTCTCCTCTCTCACTGCCCCTCCCCACCACTTGCACACATGCATTCGCACGCTCTCTCTCTAAAATAAATAAATCTGTAAAAACATTTTTTAAAAAGATGGAGGATGACAAGGGGCAAAGTTATATTGACTGCCCAATCCTATACAAGGGGAGATTTAATGAATACATTTTCAAATTTCATCTAATGAGGAACAGAAAGTAAGGTCCCAATGAAGCTCATATTTTACTTCTGGAATTATTTTTCTATCACTGAGAGCTAAAAAATTACACAACAAAGCTCTGAAAGCCTTTTCAAAGAAAAGATAAACCTTTAAGAGGCAGATGAAATGGGCAGGATCGTTCTTTTCTTTTTCTGGTAGTATTTATCAAACTAGCCAGTCACTAATAAGCACAAAATCATTGTAAGTAGTAAGAAATAGAACTAAAATAGATCTTTTTCATTCAAGAATGCTAAGAGTACTATGAAAAGTTTTTAACTGCTTCAGAACAAAACACTAAGAGGTAAGGTTCAAATTTATAGTTAAGGGTATGTAGGAAGGACAAATTTCAAGAAAAATATGTGAGGTAATAAAAAAGCCAGTGGCATAAAGCAGAGTAATACAACACAGTTTCTGCTTCCAATACACTGAATGGTACACAGAATGATTACAAAGAAATTAATTTTTATAAGACATGCGAAAATTAATTTACTTTATATATACACTATACACAGACACATTCCACCTGCTAACACAATATTTCTCCTTATTAATTCAAGGCTATCTAAATACTTGCCTTTACCCATTCATTCATCGGGTTTTGCTACAGGATTTGGTGAACAGGGACTCAGATAGTTAAAGAAAAGGAAGGGAGAAAACATTTTTTTGACAGCTGGTGTTATTTAAAAGTTCTAAGACTAAGTCCAACACAAATCCCTTTCCCATAAAATGATTTCCCTCACCCATCCCATACATAATTCTCAGAATGCCCCTTGAATTATTTTCATCTTTAAATCGAGTTGTGATGTTAAAGTTCATGAGAATCATCTCTGAACCTCCACAACAAACATCTACACATTGCCATGACCATATGATTTTGTCCATGAAATTTGCAAAAAGAAATTTCAAACATCTGGGATGCCTGGGTGGCTCAGTAGGTTAAGCATCTGCCTTCAGCTCAGGTCATGATCCCAGGGTTCTGGGATCAAGTCCCGCATTGGACTCCTTGCTCAGTGGGGAGCCTGCTTCTCCCTCTGCCTGCTACTCCCCCTGCTTGTGCTCTCTCCCTCTGACAAATAAATAAAATCTTTAAGAAATAAAAAATTTAAAAAGGCTTTAAAAAAAAATTTCAAACATCTATGAACTTTCTGTAATTATCAAGACAAAAATTCATTTTTTTTTTAAAGATTTTATTTATTTATTTGACAGAGAGAGGTACAGCAAGAGAGGGAACACAAGCAGGGGCAGTGGGAAAGGGAGAAGCAGGCTTGCCACCGAGCAGGGAGCCCGATGCGGGGCTCGATCCCAGGACCCTGGGATCATGACCTGAGCCAAAAGCAGATGCTTAACGACTGAGCCACCCAGGTGCCCCAAAAAATTCATTTTAAATATTCTATATTATGGGTGTCTGGCTGGCTCAGTTGGTAGTGCAGGCAACTCTTGATCTCAGGGTCATGAGACAAGCCCCACAGTGGACATGGAGCCTACTTTAAAAAAAAAAAAATCTTCTGGGGCGCCTGGGTGGCTCAGTTGGTTAAGCATCTGCCTTCGGCTCAGGTCATGAGCTCAGGATCCTGGGATCGAGCCCCGCTTCAGGCTCCCTGCTCAGCGGGGAGTCTGCATCTCCCTCTCCCTCTGCCCCTCCCCCCTGCTTGTACTCTCTCTAAAATAAATAAAATCTTTAAAAAAAAATCTTACATATTATATGACAGGCAAAATTATCAAAAATTAAGTAAGTTTTATTACAAAGAAATGGTTAGTCTTAGGTCAAATTTATGCTACTCTAAGTGGACCTGCTGCATGTATTCTTTATAACAGTATCAGGCTCTTGGGGCACCTGGGTGGTGACTCTTGATTTCGGCTCAGGTCATGATCTCCAGGTTGTGAGATCCAGCCCTGCATCTCGCTCCACGCTGGGTGTGGAGCCTGCTTGGAATTCTCTCTTTCCCTCTCCCTCTGCCCCGCCCGACCTCTCTCTCCCTTCCTCTCCTGCTCTTTAAAAAAACAAACAAAAAAACCCTCACAATATTGGGCTCTCTTATATGTGTACAGTTCACACAGATTTAGGACTTTCCTATAGAAAACTGGGGCAAAATGGAAAACACACTAGACTGAAGTTAGTCTAGTGACTAGACTGGACTGACTAGACTGAATCTTCTGGGGGCGCCTGGGTGGCTCAGTCGTTAAGCGTCTGCCTTCGGCTCCAGTCGTGATCCCAGGGTCCTGGGATCGAGCCCCGCATCGGGCTCCCTGCT